CGGGCGGGGCGCAGGCGAACTCCGCTCTCCCTCCTTCAGGTCGCCGCCAGCCAGCTGGCTGACTGAGGTCAAAGATCCACACACTCAAGGAGAAAAAACTCCATGCACTGTGCTAGCTCATCATAGAAAAAATATAAACGTATATTTGTATCACAGACAAATTATATATATTTATATGTGTTACATGACATAATATATATGTAACATATAATCACGTTATATAGTATATGTTTTATAATACAGTATATAGTATATATAGGGTGTTCCCCAATAAATGTATACACGCTCTAACAGCTGATAACTCACTTAATTTTCACTCCTTTTCAGGTTTAACTGATTTGAAATAATGGGTGAAGCCAGAGTAATCTTTGAACAAAGCAAATGTATCCTAAAGTGCCACTAGGCTTTTATTAGGGGGACACATAAATGATGACATTTATGGTACAAAACCGGCAACAGTCGACGCATCGCGGGCGCGCAAATTCCGAAGGAAATGATTCCTGATGTCGGCGCTCCCATCGCTCGGCGCGATCAGCAGGGCCTGGGCCAGGACCGTCATCGGTTTGAAATCGGGCGTTGAGAGAAAAAAATTATTCATTTCTGTAGATTCTTTTAAATCTTGAAAAGGAACTGTATGCTAATAAACACTGACGTTATAATCATTCAAAGTGTGTCTACATTTTGGGGGGACCCCATGTATATAATACATGTTTTTCTTTCATCACCCCACAAGATTAGCTACGGACAATTCCTTCCTCTCACCGTATGCTTGGAAGCTGACGGTGAATACAGTTGGGTCGGTGATTGCTATGAAAAGACATCCAACACCAGGAAACAAAAGTGGTTTTATCACAAAATATCTAGAGGAGAGTTCGGGCAGATAGACAATGACTGTTCATTCACTCACCCTCAGCTTCACAGAGCCCTCAGTGGCAGGACGCCCTAAGCAGAAAATTAAAAAAAAAAATGCAAAAAACACACAAATGACTCCAAATTGCCAATCAATGGATTTAAATCCTAGGGTTTTTATCAACATTGAAAGAACAAGTACCTACTGAGAGGAAAAATATTATTAAAACATGTTTGATTTTATACTTACAGGCTGCTCGAGGAAATTGTTGAAAAGACCTCGTTAAAACCAGCTCCGAGTTCTTTTAATAAGGGGTTAAGTGTGTTAGCTTAATGCGTTTGATTAGAATCGTTAACGACTTTTCCTCCTGTCTTCCCCGGGAATCCGGCTGATCACGATGCAAACTGAGGACGTTGTTTTTCTGTTTCTCTGCATCATTCAGACTCTCCGGGTGCATTTAAAAATCTCAGGAGGAGGAGGGCAGGAAGGACTGGGGCCTGTGGCTCCCGAGGCTTGTCTGTCTGCCTCGTGATGTCCTCTCTCCCGGCTGGAGGGTCGTGGGAAGGGAGGGCCAGTCCCGTAACCACACTGCCTTCTCCTGCGACAGGGTCCGGCTCAGCCGCTCGCACGTGCGTGGCTCGGAGCGGGCGCAAAGCTCGCACCTGCCGGCGGAGTCCGTGCGCCTCTCCCGTGTTCGGCAGGGAGGACGTGTGCGGTTTTCTGCAAAAGGCGCCCGCTGTTGTGCTCAACCCTTTGGACCTCTCAGAGAATCTGCACGTGCTGAACGCAGGTCGTAATCTGAGTGAATGATCACTGACTACAGCTGAAGGTACTCGGAACAATAGCTGAGCTATAGTATATTTGAAATATATCATATGTTTATTTTTGGTCCCAGCCTACCCGCCCCTCGCAAGGTAACAATTTTTTTTTTTTAGACTGACTCTTCCCTGTTTCCCCAAATTAAGTAAACTGAACAGTCCTTTATTCCCACTCCTACCTACACTTACTTAGTTTTCTTCACAGTGCCCCTTTCCACTCAGAATTTTATATTATTGTGTGCTTAGTTGCTTACGCTCCATTTATCCCATTAAATACAATATCCAGCTTGTCAAACCCAGTATATTTTGTTTATAGCTATAGATCCAGTGCCCAGTAGGGTTCCCGGAGATTGCTGCCCTTCAATAGTTACTGACTATTGCATCTAAGGCACAGATGAATTTGGATGAACTGCAGGGGCGGGGTTCCTTTCTTCTGCCAAGGGCCATTTGGATATTTATAACATCATTCGAGGGCCGTACAAAATTATCAACTTAAAAATTAGCCATGAAAAAAAGCTCCTGGATTTATTGAATTTTGAGTCCTGCCTGCGGCTGCGGTGGCAGGGCCGGGCCCAATGATTTCGCGGGCCTTATACAGCCCAGAAGCCGGACGGTCCCCATTCCTGAATTCCAGGAACATCTAATCAGTGCGTGCATCTCAAAGTGAAATTTATAGCCCTAAAATACACATTTAACACAGTCGTGAAGACCTAGCTCCCAGATTCATTCCTTCCTTCCTTCCTTCCTTCCTTCCTTCCTTCCTTCCTTCCTTCCTTCCATGTCCCTCCCTCCCTTCCACCCTTTCTCTCTCCAGTTCTATTTAAGTCCACCTAGTATCAAGAATATAAAGTATATCCTATCTGGATTGAAAATCATATTTTCTTCCCCGAAACCAAAGCATACATTCCCCAGCCAATTCGTCGCCCCCGCGCTGGAAGCTCTGATCGTGTTTCCGAATCACACGCACAAACAACGGCCGGAGGCAGAGCTCACAGAACTCGGTCGCCGCAGGCAGAAGCGCTCGGACACTTCTTGAGAGAAGCAGCGGCTTTCCGCTCCCGGCCCTTCTCAGCCCCTGCAGGTGCCTCGCTGGGGGAATGGGTTTCGGTTTTGTGCGTTTAAGCTCCTCACGGGTGAACGCCGATGGTGGCCATGGTCACTGTCACAGCCCCGGGGCCTTTGGACGGAGGGGCTAGCCTGTGGATGTCCTTCCTTTGCTGCTTCTGGTCCTTGTGACTATTTTACTGTATTTCACAAGGAGGGAACAGATTTTTCAAGGAAAAAGAAATACAATAACCAGTCTTTTTTTTTTTTTTTTTTTTTT